TTATCGTATGAGGTTAAACTACGGATATTTGTGACGCCTTGTGCCCATGCTGAACTACCAGCAATCCAAAAAATTGTCCAAATGACGGTAATAACTAAATCGATGATTGGGAAACGCTCGTCATTTCGGTATTGACGGTCCATGAGGACGTACATGACGGCGAATGCAAGGGATAATAACATGGCTGTAACACCAGTGAAAACGAAGAATTCCGCAGATGGTTTTATATCATTTGAAGCTGACAAATTTATCGAGGAATTACCTATAGTAATATCAGAATTTTGTAAGTTATAAGGATAGGACCAGTCAGCTTGTGCAGTTTTTGTGCTGGAATATTGGATTACCAACGAGGAACTACCATTACATGCAGTAGCAAAAGCGAAGATAGCAAAAAGGAATTGAAGTAGCCGAATGAGGCCACGTGGCTCTGAAATCGAGAAATATCGTCGTTTTTCAAGGTTATCAAATTGAGAACAGATGAACTGACAAACTCACCTTTGAAGATTCCGAAGTAAGCTGTCATTGTATTTACTGAGATTTTTGATTGCAAAGAATCCATTCAGAAAACGACGTAATACAGTAGCGAATCTAGATAAAAAAAGAATGCATAAGGGATTTTGTATGTCATCCGTAGATAATACTGAGGCCAGAAAATGGATTCCTCTCTTAGTAATCCTCATTCTTTCTTCCTTTCTTTCTTTCTTTCTCATACAAATGGTCGATCACTCACACCATATGTTATCAGATTAGTACATATCTATCGACGTAAACGTGTAAGTATTTCTTTTCTGATATATACCTTCATCTTGGATTGTGCGTTGACGACAATAATATTCCGTTCGATGGCTGAATGAATAAGTGAAAGGCACTGACTATTCTCTTCTTTTTCTTTTCTTTCTTTCTCTTTTTCTCTTTTTTCTTATGACTCAGTAATGCAGGTGTAAAGAGTAAGAAAAATTTCTCTTCAGCAAATATTTGCCGATGGATGTAGTCCAGAATAGAGCATCAAGAACACAGAAAAAAAAAGCTTAAAAGCGGGCGAAAGAGAAGTAAAACGACAAGACGACCATATTCTTTCGAATAAAATTCTTTTTTCCTCACTTCAAGAGGAGAAAAGAAAGAAAAAGGCAACTTATACGATGTAGAAGAAAAAAAGAGAAAAAAAGGACAAGAACGACGAGTTTTATTTCAAATGTTTGATAATATTAGAGCAAACTGTTTTCTGTGTAATTATTTTTTATAGACATGATCTTCATCTCCAACAGAGAAAATGATTCGAATATGTTCGCTTCGAAAAGAAAGGAAAAGAGCGATTGGTGCATTCGGACACCTTAAGCTGTTGTTATTTAAGCTGAAAAATCATCTGTTCAGATATAGCCTCCCTATTGATATGTTCTTATTTGATAACGTGTCCACCAATTGTTAATAGAATTGAAGTAATCTTGCTTTTTGACATTGTTTGTCTGGCATATATTGATCGACAATGAAGTGTCACTGTAAATATTGTTTACCACGTTTTTTCTGTCAAACAAAGACGGAAAGTGATTTTTGTTACTACCGACATTCGATTCATGCCAATGGTAGTACTGATTTCGGCTGCGTTCAAGCAGATGTTGCTCGATTTTTAGTAAGTTTACATTGATTGAATCGAAAGAATTCGACATTTCTTGAATTCAGTGCAATACAAGTGACGCGAATTATCGAACTGAATGCTGTTCGTCATTCTTTTGCAATATTAATTATCGATTAGTAAATGATTCAATTACATGTAAGTTATTCATATTGAATCTAATGACTACGAGAGCTGTCATGAAGTTCCTGAAAAAGGAGAGCGCTAATGAAGGAATCTACGAGATGTGAAAAGATTCTAACATGAAACTTAATCTCGTCTTTCTTGTTCAAATTAGCATCAAGTATGAAATCGATCACGGCAGAGCATGATCACACGAATCGATTACATACTACCATTGTGGTAGGCGCACTTGTCGTTATTGCAATGTTCGTTTTGGTAATGTTCTATGCATACAAACGAAGGTAAATTGACGATGTTTGCCCAAACGAAATTGATACATTTCGAGTTTTTTAGATTTCAATCTCTTTGGTCGTCATCAGTAAAATCGAATACAATTGATGATGATGAAAACAGTTCGGAAGTACATGTGAGACATCGAAAGTTGCCACTCCCATTTCCAGTTGATCACCATTCTGATACAATATCGTGGAATTCAGAATCATCTGAGCATCACGATCAGATGACTGTTCTTGTAAATTTGATTCATATGAAATCATTTTATTTGAAAACATTCCTGTTCATCTAGGAAACACGGCGTATGAACAAGGAAATAACTTTTCTTGGACAACTCGGTCAAGGACGTCATGCACGTGTACGTCTTGGTCTCATTGGCCAACAGTATCGTGCTATTAAAATGTATGAAAGTAGATTCCAAAATGAATTCGAACGTGAACGAGCCATTTTTCAAACTGATCTCATTCAACACCCAAACATTCTCGGTATTTGATATTACTTGACATCTTTCTGATCCTCTCTTTCAACGCTTCTTTCACCTTATTTTCAGCGTTTTTTGGTGCAGATCTCTTCGCTAAAGGCGCTGATACCTGCCATATGTTAATCTTCGAATATCATCCAAACGGTACACTCCACGACGTTCTCAAGGGAAATAAAAGCGACCAAATGATCACGATAGAACAATTATTGCAATATTCCATATCATTATGCGATGGTCTTGCCCATCTACACGCAATCAAATATGGAACACATGGTAATAATCGATATTGATTTAAACTGTTCTGATCCGACAAGTCTATTCATTTAGATGTTTTTAAGCCACAGATGGCACATTGCGATATCAAAAGCTCAAATATTCTAGTTAAATCGAACGGTGACTGTTGCTGGTCAGATTTTAGTCTAGCAGTTCGTTGTCATCCGTATGTATCCTCATCTTCTGCTTGGATTTAGTTGAGATGAATTTACCTGCTTTTCCTTTAGACACACGAATGAGATTCAAGGCGGTGGTATCGCACGTCTTTCTCATCGTGTAGGCACGAAGCTCTACATGCCACCTGAACTTCTGGATAAAAATGTTATTTTCAATTTTGATCGTATTAGTGCATATCAACAAGGTGATATGTACTCATTAGCACTTGTTCTTTGGGAAATTGGAAACTGTTGCTGTTCAATAATGCACATACGACCGTATGAAAATCAATTACCATATGGTTTCAATGTTGATCATTTAATTCAACTTGTATGCGTCGAACAAAAACGCCCATTGAGCTGTATTACTACATCTGATCCGGTAAGAATGTTTGGTCATCGTACAATCGAATGTCATCTGTTGTTTTGCCTTTGATTAGATTCTCATATCATTTTTCAATTTGTTAAATTTCTATTGGTGTCAAGATCCATGTGCACGTCAATCTGCTGCGAATCTTCAAGATCAACTTCGACAACTACGTCGAATGAATACTAACTCCTAGTTCGATGGATATTCTTATTTTTGTGCTTGTCTCAGTTGTCAGTCAGATATAAGTATGATTCATATGCTTTTCTATTTTGTATGATTTCATTGCAAATAAAATAAATATAAAACTTTCGTGTCGTGAATCTTAACGCATCATTCGGAAGGAATGCAAAACCATCACCGAATCAACTTTTTGCTAATTCATTCTGAAACACCCGAATGGCTTTGTCAACGTTTGTTGATTTCAACAGACTGACGTATTGAGTACCATCTACATACGCAATCACATGATTGAATAAGAGCAGTTCGGTGATTTTTGATATTGTTATCGAGAAGAGTATTCGACAAATTTCAATCGTCAACCTTTCGACAATTATGAAGTTCACGCGCTTGTTGAATTACTTTGATGAAGCTCAATGCGTAGCTCGGCATTAATTTTGCCAGTTTATCAAATGGCACGTAGATTATAAATTAGTTCATTGATGACTATTGAAGGGATAATTTGATTCTTCTTTTATCGCAGACAACCATGTTTCTGTATTTATCTGAAAAACACATGCAATAAACATAGATACTCAATCCGTTATCAACTATATTTGTGTTTCATAACTAACACTCCTAGACTTTTAATTCATTGATATTCTAGTTATAACATATATAATGTTTGCGAACATTTGACAGATTTACATGATCACTGAATCCAGCATAGTTATGCAACTGCGATAATAATTAGTAAGGTATGCCTTCGACAACTATTATTTCATTAGTGATTAATAACGTATAAGAATTAAGGCAAAAAAAAACGGGTAGTTTGGGTAATATTTATTTTAAAAAGTACTGAAAAATATTCATTGCATCAAGTACGGAGTAACATCGCTTCCCCTACTACTACTTAGGTGCAAGAGTATTTTAATAAAAGGCGAGCGAGTACGCCATCAAGGTGTAGGTAAAAGATTTTATTCATCATGCCAAAGTCTACAACACTAGTTCTTTCAAGTTCCATTCCGAACGTCAGAAACAATTTGGGTACTCAGTTCAATGATGTTTTGGAAAATCCTGTGCTCTAATGGAATCCCTCTGTATGACATGCATTAGGTGTACTGAGATGTTCGTGCTATATCTACTGGTTTATAATTATAATATTCATCAAGTAAAGTCTTTTAAATTGATCATCTAGAGTCCAAGAGTTTGATTACATCACAATCAACTTTGTTTGTCGCATGTGTCCTAGTTTTTTTTTGCGTTTTTGTTTTCACATGCCGTCTTGGTGTGCGTTGATAGAGAGAAAGAGAAATCTTTTCTTTTTTTCTTTCCTTTCATATTAGTTACTAGAAAGTAAGAAAATGGGCGTAGACGAAGAGAGACTGAATCGATGAAAAAAGAATACTAATACTTTTCTCTATATATGAATCAGCTATCGTGTTGTTGACTGTCCTTGCTTACAATAGCATCAAATGATTTTGTTTTTCTTGTTATTATTCCAAAAATCAATGAAAGTGTTTGACTTTTTTTCCGTAGATGAATATAACTTTTGACACTCGATTAAGTCAAAGTTTGGCGTTGCGCCCGTCGGTAATTATTGAAGATTCTATCGATGAATGTTTAGTCGATCCGAATTTAAGTGTATCGGCGATGATCGACCAGGTAAGAAGCGTTCTCTGGGAAGTCTGCTCTAGTTATTCTTCTGTTTAGTACGATATTTCGACAAAAATTGATATAGAGAAAAAGTTGACGAAAAAGGATTTGATTTGTGCTGTATGCGGTGCCCATGCCTTTGGCTATAATTTTGATCAGATTACATGTGAAAGTTGTAAAGGTATGATAATATCTTGTTCAAGAGAAATCTTTTTTATAGAAATTTTCTCTTTCAGCTTTCTTTCGACGCAATGCCTTGAAGAATTTGGTAAACTAATTTAATTTTCCTGTTGTTTTTTTGTAGTTTTATCTCTTTATTTAGAAAGACTTACAATGTCGACATTCTGGTACTTGTAATATAACAGCTGAAACGCGTCGACACTGCTCTCACTGTCGGATTAAGAAGTGTTTTGCAGTAGGTATGTGATAGCTGTATAATGACTCATTTCACAAAGAAAAAAAGTGCGCTCGCGTACGAGTCAAAGGTCGTACGAACCTGAACGAAAGACAAAAAGAAACACTATGTTAAAATCAGATTCAACTAATCAAATGAACATTAGAAAGTAAACATCCGTTTAGGTATGAGAAAAGAATGGATACGAAGTGAAGAAGAAAAACAAAAACGACGCGGTCAATTGAAACACACTCGTCGTCATAAGTTATCTCCGGAACATATTAAAGTTTGTACAGCACAAATCCATTCGATATTCTAAACTATTTTTCAACTTTTAAGAAGACACCTGCATCTCAGTCTATATGTCCATACTATTCGTCAAATTTGACTTCACTCGATCGCGTCCGTTTGAATAATATTACGCATTGTTATGATCAATTCAGTCGTGAACCAAGTACATTGTGCATGTGCATGTCTCGTCCCCCCGAAAGCCTCAAATTACGTATTCATGAATTCTACGAGCGAAAACGACCAGTCTTTGTTAATCTGATCAACTATTTTAAACAGTTACCAGAATTACAAGCGCTTCATGTTGATGATCAAGTTCACTTAATCAAGCAAAATCTTCGTCTGATTGGTCCTTTAAACTATGCGCTCATCAGAACATATAAGACTCAATATGCCGTTCCAAAAATCGAAACAATTGGTTGTGTAAATAACGCTAATATTCATTGCATGTATCGTTCATTGGCAGATATATTTTTGGGATTCACTGAATATGATCCAATTATTCTAAAGATATTCCTTATTATTTTATTCTTTACAACTGATGCTGTCACAACAACATCGATCTATCAAATCACGCAATATGAGCAATCGAAGCGTATTAAAGAAATCCAATATTCATATTTAGAATTGCTATGGCTGTACATGCTGGACAGATTCGGCGAACGAGATGCAATAGTTTTGTTTACAAAGATGATAACGAAATACTTGCACATCCAAGTAGTTGTTGATCAGATTGATTCAATTGTTCGAATGAATAGCGATGTAGATAAAATCGATTCATTGATGCAAACCATCCTGCAATTGACCTGATTGCAAACGAGAGTCATTCGTCAAGAAATAATCTCATCTGTATCATAGAATCTGATTTTCTTATTTTACTTAGGCAAATAAATACATGTGTATATAATTAATTTTCGCTCGAGTATTGTTATGTGTGTTAAAAGAAGAAATCTACCTAACATTGCGTGACAATGGCGCTTGCCGGTAGGAGAGAAAGAAGGAAACATTTCGAGATGTTTTTCACGATTATGAAGCAGCTATATAGAAGAAAACGTCAATTGTGAATACTTGAATCAAATAGAGCTATTTTTTGTATCTTCACTGGATCGTATCGAAAGACTTATATGACTGTAATTTGCTAATTAGTCTGTTTGGATGACACATGATGAATTACATTACGAAAACATAGCGAGTTACCGATCAACTCATTACTATGTTATGCAAAATAATAGAGTACTAACTTCTGTTATTCAATCCAATTATCGTCAGTATGTTCATTGCAGATTATGACTTTCTCGATAAAAGATGTTTAGCGTAATAAATCTTATTTGGTGTGTTGAATGATTTATGATCTGTTTTGTTTTCTTCTAACAAGGACATGAACTGATTGAAAAATTGAATATTATCGAAGTCATCACATACACACACTTACTGTGATGCTTGATATAGTGAGAAGGCGGTCCAGACAGCAACAGCTAAGGTGACAATCAATCAACATATGAGAAGATCTATATGTATATTGAAGTGAGACCACTCAAGATAGGAATCACATCAAACATAATATTTGCTAAATAGGTGTCAACGACAAGGTCTGTACCATTGCGAATACACGCGAAAACAATTATCAAGAACATATATATCTATAGGCAATTTTGAATTTTCGACTGATAAGTTCAGAGAGTTGGTTATCATTTCGATTAATTTTCGACATACGAATGCACGCGTAGAAACGACAGAATCATCCAGTTGATCAGAGAAGAGAAAGAGAGAAAGAGAAAGTAAGGCAGTAATGAAAACGGACAAAAGTATTGTCTTTATAAGAATAAAAGAACGAGAGCGAGAGAGAGGGAGAGAAAGAATGTATATATAGCACAGAACATATCCGCACGTCTTTGTATTCGCCACTTGACTTATTTATTTTCTAGCACCATTTGTGTACTTTTGAATTATTACAATCAATTTCATCATGCACGTCTAATTTTTATTAGCTCTTTACTGTGAAAGCAGACATCGATATCGAGCATTGAAAAAACACACACACATCGTAAGTTTTCTTTTTCGTACATTCAAACATGATTCTGCGTGAATAGATCACGATCAAGATAATCAATTTCTAGTAAGTGTATTGCCTTCTGGACAAACCGTCGATGTTCAAAGACAATATCATCCACATGTTCTCCTTCTGATAGACAGATTCCCGCTGCGTTCGATGTGCCGCCCAATGTAAACTTATGCAACATTTTCATTAATTGAGATTAGTTATAATATTTTTTGCTTCTCTCATCTCAATCGTATACACATGTTTTGCACGCATTCGATCATCTTGAAATAAGTCTGGAAGAATTCTTGTACTAAACAGCACGGGGATGTAGCTCACTTGGTAGAGCGCTCGCTTTGCATGCGAGAGGCACCGGGATCGATGCCCGGCATCTCCAGTTAACTTTCTATTTTTGCTTTCTCCATTCTACTGTGACGTGCAAGTATCTCTTCTTTTCGTTCTTATTTCGAGCTGAAGACAATTTGATCTTTCGTTTTGAGCAGTACCGTTAACGCACGGAATCAAATTGAACAAAAGAATAAAGAGAGAGAGAGAGGGAGAGAAAAAAATATCAATTGAGTCACCTTGAATGACAACTCTCTTTGTTCATATAAAGATCAACTTTCATACGCTTACAAGGATTTCTAATGAAGAAGATCATATTCATATTCACGAAGTTTTTTTTTCACATTTGTTTTGAGTTGAGACTAAGTTCGAAGCCTGCGGCAGTCCTCAAGCCAATTAACACCATTGTCATTTATCTGATTTATTTTTGTCGTCGAACATTACTTGTCACCGAAACGGGTTATTAGCGGGCTGAACTGTCGTCTGTCTCGAGTTAATAATTAAGTACGAAAGTTTTGCTTTTTCACCCTTCGTAAGTTAATTGACTTGGACAGTGAAATGATATATGCGTTGTACGAAGTAAATTAGTTACCGTATGCTGAATGTCGATGTGTTTAATGATCACCTTCGTCTTTCAATAGAAATTTATCACTTCTCAAGGGACAGAGAAAGTATGCACATCACTTTAATCTCTATGCCGATCGAGAATAGTTGTTACGTTAGGTATCCTTCCAATGGACAACAACAAAAACACTTCGATCGGATTAGGTTTGTATCATAATACGACACTGATGATCATTAGCATGCTGCCACCTTGACCAGAGATATTCTTATGTAAATATAGACGCAGTATGTGTGAGCAAGAACATATTTGATTATGATAAACATATTGAATGTATTATTTTCGAAATAGTTTGTTCACTTGTCTTTGTTACATTGATCAGCGCGTATAGATGATAACGTTCGATTCTGTCTGATAATATAAACAATCAATACATCATTTCGAATTTATTATCTCTTCTTTCTTTTTTCTCGTCGATGTGTGTTTGTCTACATTAATCATCAAATCATCCTTTATTATGTCTATTCCATTGCTTTGTTTTTTCGCTTTCAGGTTAACCATGCTATCAAGTATTCTGATTGTCCTCTTTTTATTCGGTTGTTGTCAAACGGACTTGACAGAAAATCGAAGAGAATATGGTTTACGTACGTTTTCGCGTTGTATGTTATGCAGGAAGAGACATTTTATTGATTCTTCTAGGATTCAAACAAGCAATTGTCGATGCCATGAAGAGAATCGATGAACTTGCGATCAGTAAGTATGAATTGAGTTCGTTCGATGAAACTACTTTTGTTCTTTGCATCTTTCTTAACTACAGATTGTCCACCTACTAGTTTTTTCTACAATGGTTCATGTTATTTTTATCTACCACCGAAACAATTGGACACTCTAAACGGAATCGGTTTGGGTGATGTATCCGCTGACGAAGGTACGAAGAGAGTTCGAGCGGTGCGATTGAAAAATATGGGAGTAAACGAATGATGTGATATAGAAATAGTTGCCAAAGAGAGTGTATACTTACGATGGTCGGTTTTTGTTTTAGCTTCTGCACGGTGTCGCTTCTTCCGTGCAAAACTTTGGGATATCGAAACAGTGAATGAATTTGATTATGTTATTGGACGGATCTACAATCAAATGCAATCCTTTGATAGTCCTCGTATTGCTGTTAATTTCACGCAGGGAAAACATGGTAAGTTCAAGTTCTTGCCAGTTTGGCATGCTATATTTGTTTTGGATTGTAGTATTAAAACTTTACAAGAGAATGGGCGAACAGCAGTTTTTAACAGTTGGTAACATTAATGATTATTCATTGATTTATAAATCTCTACCTGATGTACCGGCAGCAAATACATGTTTGATTATTGATATTAGCAAAGCAACTCGACGAGTATCTTTGGAAGAGAAGTTTCGTTTAGAACGTCGAAGTAATCACTATATTTGTAAAATGAGTAAGATCAAATCGATTTTCTAGTCAGGGTTTATTCTATGTGATTTTCTTCCTAGAAATCAACAGTTGCTATAATAATACACGTTGTGGACGGCATGGAACATGCAAAAATTTGATCGTGAAATACACATGCGTATGCAATTTTATGTACACAGGAGATTTCTGCGATAAATGTAAGTCATACAATTAGTCACGTGGCGCCATCTACATTGAAAAAATGTTACATGAATTAATTAATTCTAATAATATCTGAAACGATTCGTTTTAGTCTCTCCTTTGGAAAATGGTGTCAGTTCTGCTTGCCATAGTGTTACTATCTGTAGTCATCCTTTTGCAGAATAATAATCATCTTGACAAAAAAAGAATGTGTTCGACATTCGAAATAAATTCATCGTCCATTGATCACTTTGATGAGCCACATGTCCTAAACAACTATAAGCGATGTACCGATCACTTTCATTTATCGTTCATTTATCTGTCTTATCGTTTCGATCCTGAATTCATGCGAATAACCATGGTTCATCAATCGTGAATGTACACATGTAGAGATCATGATTGAAAAACAAGGAAG